GTTGTCTATGGTGACGCCGAGGAGCTTCGTGGAATCTACAACCTGGAGTGTGTTCGGACCTAGGGTAATGGAAGGAGGTGGGACAATGTCGGAGGAGAGGTTGATGTGCATAACCATTGTCTTGGTATGGTTGATGGTGACATGGTTGTTGGTGGCCCAGTTTTGGAGACTGTTCAATAAATCCTGAAGGGCGGTATAGTTGGGAGCGGAATTGTTGACGCTGATCCCAATGGTGGAGTCGTCGACATATTTCCAACGAGCAGGGGCTTCTCTTAGGGCATCATTGATGAGCATAAGGAAGCAGAGTGGTCCCATCTTGGTGCCTTGGGGGACGCCACAGGTGAGTGACTGAAAGGTGGAGACAGCCCCTCGGAAGCGTACAGCTTGGCGTCGGTCACTGAGGAAGTCTGTAAGCCATGGTATGAGACTTCTCCGAAGCCCGAGGTCAATAGCTTTGTTTATGATTATATTGTGGTCGACTAGGTCGAACGTTTTAGTGAAATCAATGAAGGCGACAGCTACAGACGTTTTTCGTTTCTCGAGATGGCGGTATATGTAATCGAGAAAGCTGACAAGACAGTGAGTGGTGGAGGAAGTTTTCATGTTGCCAAATTGCTGAGGGTCTACGACTCCTGCAATATCAGCATAAGCCCAGTCAAACACAAAACTTTCACAGATTAGGCTGGGTATTGGGGTGATTGCAATAGGTCGTAGCTGATTTAAAGATTGTGGGCTGGTTGACTTGGGCACTGGTGATACATAAGAGGTCTTCCAGTCAGCTGGGCATCTGGCTTGACTGAGAGAAGCATTAATGATGGAGCAGAGGGGTTTAGCAAGCTCCGGGGAGAACTCCTTGAATAGTTTCATTGGTAAGTCAATGGGGGTGGTAGAGCGTTTTAATTTTAGTTTGTCCAGGCGTTTTGCTACGTCAAATTCCTCTACTAAGTCAGTGGGAAGGGGGGCTGGTAGGTAAGCAGGGAGAGTGGTTGTGTCAAGCCGTGGGAGCGTCTGGCATATAGTAGCGAAATGGTTGTTTGTTTGCTCAGCTGCGTCAACATTAGTGAGATGGCTGAGGAAGGGGAGGGGATGTGTCATATTGTTTAGTCCACAGAGTTCTTTAAGCTTACCATACCATTGACTGATGTTGGTCTGCTTCAGGTGTTGTAATTTGGTTGGGTAGTGGGACTTCTTTGCAGTGCGTATTTCGCGGATGACTCTGTTGCGTGTGTGATGTTACTCGTGTGTATGGCCCTGTTTGTGTGACGTCACTTGTGTGTATGGTACTGTTTGTGTGGCGTCACGGTGTGTATGGTACTGTTTGCGCACGCCACTCGTGTGTATGGTACCGTTTGGTGGGCGCCACTAGTGTATGGTACCGTTTGTGTGGCGCCACCGTGGTGTATGGTACCGTTTGTGTGATCACCGTATGCATGGCACTGTTTGTGTGATGTCATTCGTATGTATGGCACCGTTTGTGTGATTACTCAGGCGATGTGGCACTGCTTTCAGTGGATGTCACTGTGTGTATGGCACTGTTTGTGACGCCACCGCTTATGGCACTGTTTGTGTGATGTCAATGCGGTGCATGGTTTCAGTGATCACCTGCAGTATGGCCCTGTTTGTGTGACGTCACTTGTGTGTATGGTACTGTTTGTGTGGCGTCACTAGTGTGTATGGTACTGTTTGTGTGACGTCACTCGTGTGTATGGTACTGTTTGTGTGGCGTCACTAGTGTGTATGGTACTGTTTGTGTGGCGTCACTCGTGTGTATGGTACTGTTTGTGTGACGTCACTCGTGCGTATGGCACTGTTTGTGTGATGTCATTCGTGCGTATGGCACTGTTTGTGTGACGTCACTCGTGCGTATGGCACTGTTTGTGTGATGTCACTCGTGTGTATGGCACTGTTTGTGTGACGTCACTCGTGCGTATGGCACTGTTTGTGTGATGTCATTCGTGCGTATGGCACTGTTTGTGTGACGTCACTCGTGCATATGGCCCTGTTTGTGTGATGTCACTCGTGCGTATGGATTCAAGGGCAATTATGTGAGCAATACCAACAGATGCAGCAAAACGAGGCCTTCTGAGTATGGTCAGCTCCATACATGACCCACTGGGACTCATCGCTCCGAGCGTCACAAGAGCCAAATTCATATTCCGAGATGAGTGTAGACGAGGTGATGGGTCGGATGAACGAATGGCTGAACAGAACAGGGTGACTTGGCGAAGATGGCTAGATGAACTTCCTCACCTATCACAGGTACACGTTCCACGGTGCTACCAACCCAATGATGCAAATCCAGTGGCTGCCATGCAACTACACCACTTTTGCGATGCCTCCTAATAAGTGTATGGAGCTGTATCGTATCTGAGGACCATGTGTGAAGATGGAACCCACCATATCTCCTTCGTGTGTGGCAAGGCCAAGCTATCCTCTCTGAAACAGCAGACCATACCTCGACTCGAGCTCTACGCGGCAGTACTGGCTGCCAAGGAAAACAAACAACTACGGCGAGAACTTGAATTATAAATAGACAGATCAGTGTTCTGGACAGACAGTACGGCAGTTCTTCGGTACATACGAAACACCGAAAGACGCTTCCATTCCTTCGTGGCCAAACGAGTGGCAACGATACACGAGGACTCCAATGCAGAACAATGGCGTGGCACCATGTGAAGTCGGCACTGAACCCAGCCAACAATGCTAGTCATGGACTACATGGAGCAGAGCTCAACGAGGAGGGCAGGTGTATTCGGGGACCTGCTTTCCTCTTGTTGGAAGAAGACAGTTAGCCAAAGAGTTCAATGAGGATTTCAGACCTCACAGAAGGAGACCCAGAGGTGAAGAAGGAAACCACGGTGCTGACGACGAACGCTGACCAGGGGGAGGGTATTCTCGATAAGCTATGGGCCAGGTACTCCTTGAGGCATCGACTTCTGAAGAGCGTATAGCGTGGATTAGAAGGTTTATAGAATGGCAGCTTGGGAAGTGAAAGAACAAACATCACCGATAAAATCGGCTTAAGGTCAGCGAATTGGAAGATGCGAAGTTAATCGTCTTAAGATTTATGCAAAGTAAAGGATTCCCTCGAGAACTCGGAATGTTACAACAGGGACAACCCGTGAGAGGTAGCAACGTGAGTCTGCTGGAACCTCATCTAGACACGGACGGTTTGATCAGAGAAGGCGGACGACTAAAACATGCCACTCTCCACCCAGACCAGAAGAATCCCATATTGTTGCCGAGGGACAACAGGATCATGGGGCTCATCGTGAGAGAAGTACACTCGACTAGAGCTGGACACTCAGGATGAGAACACGCTTTTACCACAATACATGGAACGTACTGGATACCTAAGTGCCTCAAATTACTCAACCGCACAATATGGACATGTGTGACTTGTCAGAGAAGCAACTGGAGGCCTACCTATCAACACCAAGCCGACCTGCCAGAAGATTAAATGCGCCCAGGAGGCTTGCCGTTCACCTACACTGTAATTGATTGCTTCGGCCCTTCTGTGGTGAAACAAGGCCGAGCCCGGGCGAAGAGATGGGGATGCTTGTTCACCTGCCTGACCACTAGAGCCATACACCTGGAAGTCTTCACCTCACTAGACACCGACTCGTTCGTCAACACCCTGACAAGATTTGCTGCCGCAGGGGACCTCCCAAGCGTATTCGGTCTGACAGGGGAACCAATATGATTTGAGCTAGCCGAGAGTTATGAGAGGCGGTGAGAAACTGGAATTAACAGTGACAAGGTCGGGAATGCCTTCCTGCAGAAACAAATAGAATGACGATTCAATCCCCTAACAGCCTCTCATATGGGAGCGACAAATCCGCACTGTAAGGTAGGTCCTCCAGTGTGTGGTGGGCACCCAGACACTAGACAATGAGCGGTTCAACACTTTGTTCTGCACTGTAAAAGAGATCGTCAATGGAAGGCCCATCACCCGACTATCTGACGACCCAAAGGATCTAGAAGCACTAACTCCCCTTCACATACTACGGATGAACCCAGAGACACTGCCCACTGGAGGTGATCGGTCCATGGCAGAAGCGTACCAACGAAGATGGAAGCATGCCCAATTCATCGCGGACCAATTTTGGAAGAGGTGGGTAAAGGAATGTCTCCCAACACTACGACAGCGACAAAGATTCTTCAAAACTCACCGTAATCTCCACACTGGGGATATCGTGATCATCTCTGGAAAACCATTCTCCAGGAGCCAGTGGATGCTAGGGAGAGTACTGGAGGCACTATCGAGTAAAGTTGGCCTGGTGCTAAGTGTTAAAGTGAAGACAAAGGACTCGGTGTTAACACGCCCAGTGACGAGACTCTGCCTGTTGGAAGGGGTCGGAGAGTGAATCTAATGGTAGGCTGTAATTTCGAGCGAAGCCAGACAGGGGGAGTGTTATTGCCACGCACAATTATGCGCGCTTGCCACATGTTAAGTGAAGAGACTGTTTACACCTCAGCATAGCTTACTAAGCGAGTTGGAGCTGGTAGCAGCTGTGTGACAGCCTGAGGGACAGACTATCGCCTTCTACTGTAGAGGCAGCATCTTGATTCTCGTCAGCCAACATCTTCCTGCAGGACATTATATTTGCTCTCGTTGGTCTAACCCTAGACCCCAAAACGTGAGTGTGATTGTGAATTGTTGATTCCTTTAAGAACTCTAAATAACTTTAATAAGTGTAATTATTTACTGTTTATTGAGCGTATTATTCAAACTGTGTCCTGATGTATCAGCAGTTGTTATATGTGAAATGTATTCAACAGGTTTTGACCGAATTATACTCATCGCGTCAACGACAAGGGTCTCATTATCCTGCACAAACCAAAATCACTCCTATGAGCGATTACAGTAATAATAATAATAATGGAATTATTGTAGTTTTATAACAATACTATTGCTAATTGTACACACAATAATAATATTAATTATAATAATAATATTTTTATTGGTGCATGTGAAGTAATTTTTTCCTGTTTGATAGGTATGATAGAGAGATCTATGTATCTTGGCCAGTATGACTGGGGGAAGGTGGACCATCCTCCCACTGATGTCCGCACCTATGTCAAAGAGATTCTCCTTAATATAACTCATGTTCATGCTGAGGTAAGAATATTTTTAATGGAGCTGAAATCTTGTAAGGTGGTCAATGTATAGTTATAAACATTGGTATAGTATAGTATAGTATAGTATAGTATAGTATAAAATACCATAGTATAAAATACCATAGTATAATATCCAGTGTCGATCAGGGTCCCAAATGGTTGGTTGACTTCAGGTTTATGTTTAAATGAGGTGTAGCAAGTGGTCCATATCTTTGTTGTTTTGCCAAGAAAGAATTTTTACGTTCCATTAATGGTTAGTATATTGATGGATTACAGTTCCCTGTTGATGTAATGCTTTTGAGATTAATTTTTCCCCTCTTGATATGATGGTACAGGCATACTGTACTGTTATTAGATAGGTGAAGGATGAAATTTATTTTAGATTGTGGCAATACATTGATTCATGTAGTGAGAAATATTTGTATGTTTTGGTTGTCTGTCAGTAGCTATACTATATGACAGATTAGGTTAAACCTTTGGACACACTTTTTATTAACAAATTATGTTTCAAGCTGCATTCCACGGAGTGTCACTTCTCCAGTAAAATATAAAAATAGTAATTGGTAATCTTTTTACTTTTTTTTATTGAGGCAAAACTGTAAAGTTTCCATATCGGTCATTACTGTTCCTTAAAACATATGACAGCTGGGTAAAATATGAAGAAAAAATTAAAATGAAGTATTTATGGATTCCTAATTTTATCCTTTAAAACATAGCCAACACTATATCAAATGTTGCCAGAAAATCATAAGAAACATTACTTAGGCATTAAAAACAAAATAATTTATTACAGTGGTCCCTCGGTTAACGAGCACAATTCGTTCTAGAAGGTTGCTCGTTAACCGAAAAACTCGTTAACCGAAACCATTGTTTCAATGGGTTTTTGGGTAATTGGTTCCAGCTCACCGAAAATTGCCTAAATTCAACAAAAAAGGTAGAAAAGTACACTTACTTTGAGGTGTGTATGTAGAAGGCTCCTGGATGATGATGATGATGATGATGATGGGAATTAGAATGGGGGTGGAGGAGAAAGGAGAAGAGAAGGCATTGGGGTAGAAGAGAAGTCACCCCATGGCACCATTTCACCCATAAAATTTTAGTTCTCTTGGTGTAATTCAAGATTTTTTTCTTTAAATCACCACTGCACTGCATTATATATTGTCAATATGTAAAATAAATTTCAAAATGACCAATAATTTGCTTGGAAACACAGAAAAAAAGCGTTTAGTTGAAGAGAGTCTTAAGCAAGATGTTACCTCCACTGAAATGACAGAGACTGACGCCTGTTTGGTGTGTTGACAAGCTATTTGGCGTGCATAAAACTAGTTTCCTGTACTTCAATTATGTTCAATAATTGTTAAATTGACTAAAAAATTTAATATTAAACATTAAAATTATTGAATAGTATAAACTTCTTGATATTTACTGTACTAAAATAGTAAGGAATTTAAGCCCTAGAACAGATTAGTGTATTGGCGGACTGATACTACAGCTGGTGGACCGCCAAATGCAAGCAAAACATGTTGAGGTCGGCTCGTAAGAAACTCGTTAATCGAGGGATTGCTTGTTAACCGAAGTTAAGAATCTTATGGAAGGTAACTCGTTAACCGAAATCTTGTTAACCGAGGCGCTCGTTAACCGAGAGACCACTGTATTTAAATCCAGAGTACATTATAATAATTTGTATGCTCAAATTTATATAAAATTTTCTAAAAAAAAATATTTTGTCGTCTCCTTTGATTTCACATAAAGGAAACTAAACAACACAATTACTGAATTTAGTGAGAGGTACTGTAATATAGGGAGAAAAATTTAAATGGCCACAATCCGCAAAGAAAAACAATGCCAAAAATTTAAATACCTGTAATATATTGATGGATTTCTCAATTTATAGGTTGTACGTGTATGGCCAGGCTTAGTTGGAAAACTCATTGGTCGAGTAGTGGAAGGCGTTGGAGAAGAGATGTCTCGTCTAATTGCTTGTGTTGGTAATTGGTCAAAGTCCGGTACTCTGCAAGCACATATAGATTTGGCCGCTCTCACATCTGTACTACAAAACCACATATCTCTAGCAGCAAGGTAAAGTTTTAATGCATTTTACTTAATTTAGATGTAGGATTATTTCCTATTTGGCTGAGAATCTCTGCTGCTTCTCAGCAGAAGATTCATAAATTTTGGTCATGATCACATTTTCATGCAGAACATTGTACAGTACAATACTGTTCTGTAAATTAAACTGATCCTTATACCTTCCATTCTAAAGTTAATTGCAGTAATATGTAGTGTAACATTCAGGGTGGATTGGTGTAAACCAATGGTTAAAATGATTTGGTGTAAACCATTTTTTTATTAAAACGATTTTTGTTTTCTAAGTTTATATTTCATGTGAATATGTCTTTTATACCCTGCTTGTGCATACCAGTGGTCCTAGTTTTCTCCTTACTTGAAATGTTGAGGGTAAGAGGGCCAGGAGAAAGCAGAATCTGGGATGGATAAATGAAATTAAAAACTGGGTCCCCAGAGAGATACAAACCATTGGAGGATTGATAAAAGCAGCCCAGGAACATTTAGAGTGTAGGACTGTGGTTGCCAACCCTCAGATATGAGGAGAGTACTGTATTGTATTCTAATTGATTGATACTGTATATTGCAAACAGTTCAATATTAAGCAGAAAACCAGGATAGTAAACTAGTTTTATTTAAGCTAGTTTATTATGAAAATAGACTGTGCTACAGAGTTTTTGATTGAAATATGAAAGATAAATGCACTTGGTTGCATCAAAATTCAATAAATTATAAAAATAAAAACATGGTTTATTCGGTAAAAACAATGTTTTTTTTCCACCCTGGTACAGTAACATTTGAATAATGCACTTAAGGTGAAAAACTAGTGGCAGTTTTTTCTTTTGCTTTAAAAAACAAAATCTTCATGTCGGGTGGCTGAATACGAGAGCAAGTACACACACACACAGCCTGCTTCTAACAGAAATTCATCTTTTCAATTTTTTTTTACTTAATTTTAGATCTTCAAAAGTCACTTCACCATGCAGGTTATCACAGATGATTGTTTCTTTCAGTGCATCATTTGAAGAGGCTAGAGAAATGCTCCCTAAATTATCAGCTGCAGATGAAAGGTCAGTTGCATGCATTACTTTAGTGTACAGTAGAATTTCTGGAATCCAGAACTTGGTTATTGGCATTTAATGTATTTTAATGTTATTATAGAATGTATTTATAATTATATTTGTTGTATTTTATAAATTTTTGGTTTATTCATTATAATTCCCTCTTCTTTTATTTGCATCCTGTACATTTTGATGTTTCAGAAAAACAAATCTCAAATATATTTGGAATAATTAGTGTGCTTGAATGTTTTCCCCTGAATCTTATATTCCCATAAGTTACCAAATATACAAAATGTAATTTTGCTGTATCCGTTCACCATGTTTTTTTCAAGAACTTAACCCCTGTGTTCACCAAGGTTAAGCTGTACTGTATTGTATTTCTCAATCTTTGCCTCCTATTCACCCCATATACTGTACAGTAGTTCACTCCAGCACATCATTTCTGCTTCCTCTTGTATTCAGGGTCTATGCTTCACTCTCACACACAATATTCCTCCATACATCCCCAACTTTGCTCCAATTGACATAGTTATCTCCATACATTTTGTGATGAACCTGTTACTTTCCCTCTGCTTCTCTGTGACACAAGTCCTCACCCAGTATTCCAGTAGCTAACACATCCACTCCAGCTACCTGAAACATCTCATTTCTGAACCCAGAGATTTAGACTGGTGAACCCAAAGCAGTAGACACTGATGAAATAGTCTGTCCCTAAATGCTTCGGATTCACAACTCTGAATATTAGGGTTCGTGGTTCAGAAGGAGAGGTGACAGGACTTTGTGGGAAAGAGGTATACACTATACAGTAAACTGTATTACAAAGCCAGTTCTGCATTGGTTCACTGTGAATCATGTGTAGAAAATAGTCCATCAATCTGCATTTCCATACTATGTGTCCTCTCTTTTATTAATATTACTTTTTCTTTTACAGAGTAAAAGAAGAAGTTCTTCAAAGCTTTAGGAGGAAAATGCGGTTTTTGTTAGGCTGCTTTTTGGAGTTGGAGCATCTAGAAGACAGCATTACTACACATTCCTTAGCATAGTGTTAGTATTAATATTAGAAGCAGTAAAGAGCAATACAATACAATACATATGAGACACATTATAGTTTGATTCCTGAAACCATATTATTAATTGTTCTTCTAAGTACAGTATTGCTTGTTATTTATGACAACTAAATTTGTTTTCACAGTTTGACAATGAATACTGTAGCACCTCTTCAATTCTGATACTGTAAATACAGGTAGTTGTGAGAGAATATATTCCAGAGTATAATGGTGTGATTATTTATCATCCAATGACTGCAGCTCATTAATATTGCTCTTTTTATGTATACTACAGGTATCCTTGGCCATACGAACATTCGCTTATACGAAAGCTATTCTCACTTTTATGGTCCCTTAAGGTAATATAGTATACCAAATTTATATTTTATTAATTTTTAAATGTGTTGGGTACTAAATTATAGTAGTTGGGTATTAAATTACAGTAGTTAGGTACCTTCTATAGTAGTTATTTATTTAAGTACAGTAGTTAAGTACTAATTTACAGTAGTAAGGTAGGTATTTTGTTGTTTGTGAACCATTCACCTTTTTTTTTGTATAACATTGGGGTTTTCTTGTTGTTGGGGAACTGAACCATACTTTTCCCATATTCTATGTTATTCGATATATAAATATTAACTTACTAATGGTTTTCAAGGAACCTAACCCATTCATATAGTGAAGGATACCTGTACATTGGGAATATCTTCTTGAAAAGTAAGTAGATTATATGATTTTTTTAAATTTTCTGGGTGATTCAGCAGCTGTGTACACTTAACATTACTCTATTGGGAGATTCTGAAGAAAATTTATAGAAATTAGAGAAAGAATTTGGAAGGGTGTATAATAGGAGAAAGTTGATGGTGAATGTGAATAAAAATAAAGTCATGAAATTCATTTGCAAAAGGAGGAGAAATAAATGTTAATTTGAAGAGAGATAAAATAAAGAAAGTAGAATGTTTCAGAGATCTTGGAGTGGAAGTTAGCAAGTGTGAAAATGACTGATGAAACACAGAGTAGCAGAAGGAAATAAAGCAAAAAATGGATTGAGAAGTGAATGGAGAGAGGGAACTGTCAAAGGAGGCAAAGATGGGGATGTATGGAGTAATTGTTGAGTTAACAGTATTGTATGGAAAAATATGCTTGAGAGCAATAGTATAGGGTAAATTAGTTGTAGAGAATGAAATACAGAAATGAGGAAGAGATTTCAAAGTGAAAGAAATGTTGGGTAGAGAGCAATCAGGATCTGTTCAGATTCTGTGAATTTACTGAGAGTATAGGATGCAAAAGATGGGTAGACAGTGTTATTGAAAGGTAAATAGTAGGAGTGAAAGGGGAAGAACAAGAAGATTGAAGGACTGGGTAAATAATGCACTGGAAGTGAGGAAAAAATCATCCAGGAAGAAGCAGGATGCATAAATGAGTGGACAGCATGGAGTCGAGTGACTTTTGGGGAAGGATATGTTTGGTGATGCTGGCTTATGTGATGTTACTTCCATTTACCTGTTGTAATTGCTGATAAAGGTCCTGAAGATTCAGCTTTACTCTGGAAGATAACATTAATAAATGTTTTGATGTCAACAAAGAATGAACTGTGACCAGTGCATTATATTGTGGGCTTCACAGTTTACCACACATTGTTATGTGAAGATTATAGCTGTTACCGAGTAATTGTTTTTACATTAGATTAAATTACTGTACAGTCAACCCTCACTTAACGCGGTTAATACAACCCACAGGGTACCGCAGAAAGTGAGAAACGCGTAAAGTGAACAACATAACATATGGGATTAATTGAAATAGAGACCGAGCCGACCCCCAAACTCCACTTTTTGACGACACACAACTATGTTGTAGTAAAAATTTTATCTTAACTTTATGATGGTATGCACACACAATTAATATAGAAGAGGTTAGGTTAGGAAAAATAAAGGTTAAGTTAGGAAAAATAAAGGTTAGGTTAGGAAAACTAAAAGCTAGGTTTAACACTTACGTTAGTAGAAGAGATGGGTCGGCATACGGGGATGGAGGCTGGTTCCGAGGCAGAGGGCAGGCTACTGGCCCTCAGGTGAGTCACCATCACTGTCATCCACACTTATCAGGGCCTCCCTGACAAATTCCTCAAAGTCATCTTCACTGTCTCTACCTCTGTCACTATCACTGGCTTGGGCTGGCTGTGGTGGGTTGCGGGCGAAGAACTCTGTTATGCTTTGCTGACGGCTGGTGTTTATGTTGTCGTGATAAACCTTGATGTAGGGCTCCAAAGTCTGCAACAGCTGGGTAGTGAAGATTTCATACCTGTTAGCGTCAGGGTCGTCGGAAAGGAGGAGCTTGACTTTCTCGATACACTCGATGGCACCCCTTACATTACTATGGGATAAGTGGTGTTCTTCTTGGGATGACGCACCACCTGCCTCTTCACTGACGTCATCATCATCTACCATCTCGTCGGTAGTCACATCAGGATCCCTTATCACCTCCAGGATGTCGTCGTTGGTGGTCTCGGAGAAGTCTGCAGCTGTAACACTCTGTGCAGTTTCTCTGGCAAGGTCCACTGCTACTGCAACAGTCTGAACCTCACCAGTCACAGATTGACTCTGCCTAACAGCCGGAATGCCTTGCAACACATGTCTCCATGCGTGATGAACAGTTGCTACAGACAGCTGATCCCATGCCTCCGCCAAGAAGTCCACAGCTTTCTTGATGTTGAATATTCCCCAGAATTGTTTGAAAAGTACTTGTTGCTCTGCCAACTGTTGATCCTCGTCGTCTTCGCTCTTGCTATCGGTGGTGGTGTCACTCAGGTTACGCAACTCTTCCTTGGTGTTGGTGTAGTCGTTCAGGAGCTTGAATGTTTTAGTAGAGAATGCAGCTTTTACATTACAGATTAACTCTTGGTTCATGGGCTGTAATATAGACGTAGTGTTGGGAGGAAGGAAGACCACTTTTACGTTGGGGTGACGATCTAACAGTAGGGGCGAGTGTCCTGGTGCGTTGTCCAGCAGCAACAAAATCTTGAATGGCACATTCTGTTGCTCACAGAATTTCTTTACATAGGGAACGAAACAGTCATCAAAGCAGGAGAGGGACAGTGTAGAGAACATCCACGCCTTACGTGCGGTCAGCCAGTGGACATTTAGCTTGGTCATGTCCATGCTCTTGTAGGCATGCGGCTTGCTTGCTGTGTGGATCACCGATAACTTGAGCTTACAGGTACCGGAGGCATTGGTGGTAAACAGGACGGTGATGCGTTCCTTCTGCAACTTCCGGCCCCGAATCTTGCTGGCATTCTTCACAATGAAGGTCTTGGAAGGTAGCTTTTTCCAAAAAAGACCAGATTCGTCCATGTTAAACACCTGGTCATCGGTGTACTGTCCTTCCTCCATAATCTCACGTAAAAACGGAGGAAATTCCCTAGCCGCAACACGGTCAGCACTAGCTTCTTCACCAATGTTGATATTGGTGATCTTGTTCCTCATCTTAAACCTCTGTAACCACCCAGAGGAAGCATTAAAGGGTTAGGGCTCTGTAATTCCCATCTTTCGTGACACTGCAGCAAACAGTTCACGTGCGTACTCCTTAACAGAGCGCGTGTCCACCGCCATGGTCCGTCGCGCCTGACGCACCAAGTAGCTCACAAGTAATTTTTCCGTCTTGAGAAGCACCTGGTTGTGGAAATACTTGATCATAGAAGCACCTGTAGACTTTGTGATCTTCATGTGCTCTTTTATCTTGGCTGCATCCTTCTTTATCGTTCGGATCGTAGATTCGTTCACACCATGCTGGCGCGCCAAATCAACCTGTCTTGTTCCTTTCTCCAACTCTTGGATGATCTTGTACTTCACCTCGTAGCTTAAGAAACGTCGTGTCTTCTTTGGCTTAGGGTGGCTGGGTCCAGGCAAGGAAAGGTTTCTCTCTGGGGGCGGTGGTCCGGCGGAAGCCATTTTACAGAACAATGGATGCACGATTACACGGTGTGGCCTGGAGGGATGAAACTGCCGCGGCTAGGTCAAGCGTCGTCTTTCCTCCCTCCCTCCCTCCCTCCCCCGGGTGGACACTTCATATTACTTTAAACCAATTACAGCTAGCAGAGGAGGGAGGTAGGGATGCATGGCCAATCACAGTCCGATACGTCATATGACGTCAGTGATAACGCAACAGAGACATGCACTGCGCAACCTTACTGCGCGGCTTGCCCAGGCGGAGGCGGGAGCAGGCGGGAGGGGCGAATCTAAAAATAGCGTCGAGCCAGTCACTCTCCGCGTAAAGGGGTACACGCACCGCGGAATGTGAGCATCCCGGGTTTTGGCAGGGTACCGCGGAATGTGGGACCGCGTAAAGTGAGGGTTGACTGTAATCATAATTGTCCTGTGAGCAGTATCCATTTAGCCATTGTAAACAATGTTGATCACACACACTGCCAGTCAGGCCACTAAGCACTCAACTAGCTCAATTTTTCCTTATCAACTTAAAATTTTATATGGTAGACTAAATTCAACAATACTATTCTGTCATTTTATTCTTTATACACGTATACTAATTAACTTTGAGCTGAGGTGTTGAAAATTTAAAGTAATCATGATATTTCAAGATTGGTTCCTCATAAGTGTTATTTTTCCATCAAAGAATGAGTGTTCATATAAACCTTGTAATGACTTTTATAATAAGAAGAAACCAAAAGGCTTCCATATCTGACTCAAAATTTATTTGAAAACATTATTACCTGTAGAGTGAGAAATGCATTTATTTTAAATTAATGTAAAAATTTAATATTTTATAATTATAGAAATATGAAAGCATATTGATCTAAGTAACTCAAATGGGGCCAAAAGTATCCCAAAACACATGATTATTGCATTGTAACATTATAGCATGACTATCATTCATATTACTGTACAGTGAACCTTCGAAGATCTGGACCCGGTAAATCCGGATTTCGGAAGATTCAGAAAAAAAATTGGGTGGTTCTGGGCTAAGAAGTCTCGCAGAGGCCTCTGTAAGAAGCATTCCCAAAACAGAGAAAAGAACATTTTAGGCCCAAGAAGGTGGAAAACATAAATAATAGTCAATTGTTGTTTGTGGGAATAATATTTCATTCACTCGAGTAATGTTACAATGTTTCTTATTATGTTATCGGAGGTAAGTGCATGGTTTATATAATTTGTTTATCACTGTGCCCATCACCATTTTCAAATTAGACTACAAGATATGTATTTCTCCCATACATACTGTGTTTCGATCGTACGCCTGGCAACGGGAGCGAGTGAGAGCGCGCTAGTTAGAGCATCTTCTGCTCTTGTTACTCTCTTTGCTCCCTGCCATATTTCACTGGATTTACTGCTATTAATAGTGTTTACTGATATAATAGTGATTAATCATGGCATTGTAGCCAGGTTAGACTCATCACTGTAACCACCAGGCTACTGTGTGGTGTTATGGTTGTTTTCAACTCGTATTTTCGGGTAGACATACGTAACTTTCTTCATTTATTTTTACTCGGCTACATACACGCGCCATCCGAAATACAAATTGTGAAAAAAAGTAAAAGAAATAATTGTCCTAAAGGCAAACA